GAGGACTGGAAAAGGGCCAACGTGGTGGTCATTTTTAAGAGGGGGAGAAGGGATGAGCCAGGTAACTTTAGGCCAGCCAGTCTTACCTCTATCCTTGGGAAAACACTGGAAAAAATCATTAAAGAGCTTATTTTTGAAGGCCCAGCAGGGGAAATGATGCTGAAAGAAAACCAGCATGGGTTCATCACAGGTAGATCCTGTCTGGACAAACCTTATAGCCTTTTATGACCAGGTAACACACTGCCTTGACACAGGAGCGGAGGCCAATGTCATCTACCTGGATTTTAGGAAGCCCTTCAACACAGTTTTGCATCCTACTCTTATAGGGAAGCTAACGAGCTGTGGAGTTTGTCACCCACCTGACTGTGTAGGTGTCAACTGGTTTAGTGACCGCACACAGAGAGTGGTGATGGATGGGTCATTCTCAGCCTGGAAGGAGGTGGGCAGTGGTGTCCCGCAGGGTTCGGTCCTTGGACTGGTGTTATTTAATATCTTTATCAGTAATTTGGATGAGGGTGAGGAGAGCACCCTCTCTAAGTTTGCTGATGACACCAAGTTATGGGTCAAAGTTACTACACCAGAGGACAGGGAGCAGATACAGGCCAACCTGGACAGGTTGGATCAGTGGGCGGAATGAAATAGGATGCGATTCAACAAAGATAAATGTAAGGTACTCCACCTGGGAAGGAGGAATCCTCTGCACACCTACAGGTTGTGGGATGACCTCCTCAGCAGCTCAGAGGCTGAGGGAGATCTTGGAGTCATAGTTGACTCCAAGATGAACATGAGCCAGCAATGTAATGAGGCCATCAACAAAGCCAATCGGACCTAATCGTGCATTAGCGGATGCATGACCAACAGATCGAGAGAGGTGATGCTCCCCCTCTATATGTCATTGGTCAGGCCTCAGTTGAAGTACTGTGTCCTGTTTTAGGCACCGCACTTCACGAGGGACACAGAGAATCTGGAGAGGGTTCAGAGGAGGGCCACTCACATGATCAGTGGTCTCTGGGAAAGACCCTATGAGGAGAGGTTGAGGGATCTAGATCTCTTCAGCCTTTACAAAAGACAGCTGAGGGGAGACCTTGTAGCCGCCTATAAGTTTATCAGGGGAGGACAGCAGGGAATTGGGGAGGCCCTGTTTTCCAGAGCACCCCAGGGAGTAACTAGGAATAATGGGTGCAAACTAGTGGAGAGTAGATTTAAGTTAGACATTAGGAAGAAATTTTTTACAATAAGGGTGGCCAGAGTCTGGAATGGGCTTCCAAGAGAGGTGGTGCTGTCTCCTAACTTGGAGGTCTTCAAGAGGAAGCTTGGCAATCACATGGCTGGGATTGTCTGACCTCAGTCCTCTTTCCTGCCAGGGGCAGGGCATCAGATATGATGATCCATTGGGTCCTTTCCGACTCTATAATCTATGAATCTATGAATTTAGTGGTGAATGTGCTAAGACCCTACCCTGTCCTGAACAAAGTGAATATCCCTTGCAAATTTGGCCCTTATTGGTAGCAGGAAAAAATATTACAGCATAACACCACCTAAGATTCCATTCTGAATTTTTTTGTTAGAAACTAAGGACACTTTCTAGTAATACACTGTTAACTGGAAAATTGCATAAGTCAGAACTGCGCTAGGTTCGCTTAGTCTTGCATCCATGATATTTATTTGACATTTGCTGATTTTTCCAGGAAGAATAAAAAGCAAAATGCTAATGACTAGTCAATCCTGGTATAGCTAAATATAGCAGCAGGCAGAGAAAAGGCATTTAGCTTAAAGCAGTTATCGGTATAAAACAGTGATGCTTTCTCAGGGCTACCTTTGGTATGATCAAACACAACGGGCTCAGGTTTAGAATCGCTATGGAAATTAAATTTTCTATATCAGTGGGTTAACCACAGATTTAAAAAGACAACAAACTAGGAATGCAAAAATGAGACAACAACAATCTTGTCATTACAAAATGTTAGCACCACAATTGTGTTAAAGCACAATTAACCCTTAAAAGGAATGCGAAATATGAATGCAGACAATTCAGTGCCTTAATATCAAACTCTAACTGTATTAATACAACAAGTATTATCTTGGCAGTTTCTATATTCAGAGAGAGAGAAACATTCAGTACAATAATCTCACCCAATCCCAGATCTTACTTTGCTCAGCAAAAAAGACAACCACTCAGTTCCTGGAAGCAAAGGGTACATCATGGGCCGGGACAGTCCAGACAGGTGTAGAAGGCTATATTTATGACAATGATGATGAATTTTCTTGCTGCCCCCTTTTATATTCTCTGCGGTCAGCATACTGTTCATCTTTTATCCTATCAGCATATTCCTTTGTCTATCAGACCCATCAAAAGTACACCTCTTAATTTGGCCTTTTTCTGGGTATCTTACTTTGGGCATTGTCCATTGGTCTCCCTTATCACCTTTCATTAATATATCCAATCCTTTTATCCCTCTGAATCAGCCAGTTAGTGCCAAGTTCAGTTAACTGGAGCTGATAACAAGGCCATTGTTACGTTATGTTAAAAAAACTTCTTTCAGTGATAAAAATAAAAACTTAATAAAAACAAAACTGAAGCAATGATTAAATAAGGCTAAATATAAACAATACTTTAAGCAGGTACATCTTCAAAGCATTAAACATAACAAACTACCCTATCAAAAGGATAAACTGAACCCCATGTTGAGGTCCATCACAAATCCTATGTGCCACCAAATTCCCACTAAAGCCATCACATTTTTATTTAAATTCATTGTGTACTGCTTTCATCTCTATGCTGCCACCCTGTGATTGCTCATAGCAAATACACCCTTGTTGATGTATAAAGTTACCACCAGCATGTAACAGGGGACCCCCTTCCCTGTTTCTTGGAGGAAGGAACAACAGAGTCACAAAGCAAATGCAGCCTAGAAGGAGTCCAGCTATGAGGGCTGCAGGACTCAACCTGCAAGTTGCAGGCAGCAGAACACTTGGCTGATGATAAGGGATGAGCAGAACCTGGGCCTTATTAACAACATGCCAGGTCAGGTGGAGCCAGGAGCCCAAGGCTCAGACTGACTTAGCTCCTCATAGCACAAGGAGTTGTATAGGTGTGGCATCTGGGGGGATCAGTTGTGTGTTTTTGTTTCTGTTGCTATTTGCGGTTTGTGTTACACTGAAAGACCAGGTTGTGGCTGTAGGGGAGAAGGAGACTACATAGCAGGATGCCTGGGGAACTCTGGGTTTTGAGCCTTGCAAAGGGCCAGGAGGAGTGAGCTGGATTAACGCTGAGAGGGATTCAACCCAGAGTAATAGGTGGCCTGAAGGATGGCTCAACTGGGATGGGCGTGAACAAGGGCCCTGAAGAGTGGTTGGCCTAGGACTGGAAGCAGGAGGAGCCCTAGAGGGGCCTGTGCCTAGACCCAGGGGTCAGTGTCCAAGCACAGGTAGAGCTCAGGCTGAGGGGCCAATGCCTGAATGGGGTGACCAGAGATAGAAGAGGTCACAGGGGGAGTGCCTTGGGTTTTAAATGGCAACCTTGGTATAATGATGAGAAGGCAAATGGAAATACCTTTGCTATATTTCTCTACACTAGAAAATCTACCACAACTGGGGATAAATGTTGAACTGGATTCTCAGTGTCTACAATCTAGGTCCTTCAGTTCAAGTTGACAATGATAAAAAGCCCAATGAAATTTATTAAATGCTGTAAAATGTTATTGGATATGTCTACACTGTTATTTAGGAGTGATTATATCAGCCCAAGCCCCCATCCCTTCCAAGGTTATCACATTTACTCAAATCCAAGACAAGGGATTTTTTGCCATTCCACGTGGATTCATCTTGGATTTGAATACAAGAGGGAGGATGAAGACAGCTGCTGCAGCTCCATCTTTGGCCCTGACTCAGGCTCAGATACAGAGCTGCAGCCCTACCTCCTCACAGCCTCTGCTCATGCTGCTCTATCACATCTTCTCGTGTTTAAGACAATGCTTAAGCCACCTTGAAAAATCACGCACCTACATCGGGGGTGACGTAATAAAGACTGATTTTGTTTCATTTGGAGTAGCACCTTATTCAGAAATACTGTCAATGAAATCAATAGGATTCCTCATAAAGTATAGTGTTCCTCAGCATAAGTAAAGGCATCAAAATCTTTCCTACAGAAATATCTGAGGTCAAATGCTGCCCTCCCATACCAGCCCTATGCAAGCTATGCAATCTTTAGTCTATAAACAGCGTCTATAGGTACTATACAAGTACTACATAGCATAAACAACAGAAATAAAATTGGAGTAATCTGGAACAGGGGTCAGCAACCTACAGCCCATAGGCCAGATTCAGCTCCCAAAGACATGGGGCTTTGGCTGAATTCAGCAGCAGCAGACTTTGGGCTCCTGTGGGCATTCTTCCTACATTGCTATGGGGATGAATATTGGCTGGGGAAGCTTCCCCCATGCCACTGTGGAGACAAGCAGCAGCAACAGCTGGGGCTTAGCACCCACCTATCCACCTGCCTCTGACCCAGGATCATTCTCTCCTGCAGCTGCAAATAATTGCCTACCTCTGATCTGGAGGAACATATTTTGGCTGCCTTCCTCAAAAGAGTGAGCAGCTGTTCCCATAAATATAATATTATTATCTAAAAATGCGACTACTCATGGAAGTCACATGCTAACTGACTGCTCACCAATGTGGGCAAGGGATGCAGATAGTCCCATCTCATGCTCATTCCCATAGACTGCAGTTTGTGTATGTTGCTTGGTAAATCATGAATATTTGCTTTTCTACTCATTTTTCGTATAGAGCTTTCACTTGACTTTTAAAAGGGTTTTTATTTTAAATAGTTGAAGTATCATCAACATCATTTACATACTGAAAATAATTGAGTGACAGCAGTATAGTTACATTCTCATGTTTAGAAATTCCATTACCAATTAAAATACTTGTTTCTCTTATGTTGTTATCACTGGCAGTCCCTCAATACAAGGATGGCAGTCTTCCAGTAAATAGGGAAGTCATCCATGAGTCCAAAGATGACTGATGAGGCTGATCTGAGATCTGCATGTTTGATTGCAGAGGTGGCAAATAATTCTGGAAGGAAGAAATAGATTTTGGTGATGTTGGGTCACAGCATTTTCCCTTTGTCTCATCTATCTCACCTTGCTACGAAGGCAGTTTGCTTAAAATGATGGATGTCTTGTTGTATATCACAGCGCCTGAAGGGACATTTCAGTGCTTGAGTCTCTCAGGTATTGATGTTCCCATACATACTGTAAATAAAAGTGTGAGGAAACTCAGATAAGTGACAAGAGAAAAAAAGCAAATTTGTCCTGCAAATTTAAAATAATGCCACTGGCTAATATTTGTTAGGAATATTCAGTAACATAGAGCACAGTAGAAAAACTTGAGATCCTACTCTCACCTTCTACGGTTATGAAGACTGATGCTTCAGAAAAATCTACATAGCCAAAAACACATGAAGTCTCTGCTTCTAATATGTTCACAGTGAAACATTTTTCCTTGTATACTGGTAGTTTAAAGACTAATGAGCTTTAGTTATATATTTTTTTAAAAGAGCAGTGATTTCCCCCCTCCTTCCCCATTTCATAGTGTAAAGCAAAATAGATAACCTATATGCAAAATAGATAACCTATATGCAATTTAAGCCAGAGTACAATCTGAGAACTTTGGAAGATATTTACAATAGACCACAGATTTTTCTTCTTCCCCCCTCCTTTTCCATTGGGACCAATAGTCCAGTTGAATATAAACACATACTTAACTACTTTACTGTATAGAAGTAGAAATATTTGCATGCTTAAGCACATTGCTGCACTGGGTCTTATATCATGTCTGGTACAGGCTGAACACACCACCCCTTCCTGCTGCAAGCCTTAAAATAAATTATTTGATCAAGACTGAAGCTTTAACAATTGCATCTTTGATATACATTTTCTTCCGTGTTTTCTACCATCTTGCCCTTCAAGGACCTGATGTAAAAAGCAGCTGAAGACAGTGGGAGCCTCTTTCAAACTGGGTGAAATGGATTGCTTTGCATAAGACCCGTATGAGGCCTGTGTATAGGAGTAAATTCACTTGCAGGGTTTGATTCAAATCCTTTGAAGTAAACTTCAGAACTCACTCTTGAAGAGAACCAACAGGAATGGAACCTAATTTGTAATTTTGCTCATTAAAACGTTTGTCAGCCAAGTTTCTAAAACTTATATTCGTGAAGGTGCTTCCACTCATAAAACCTAACTATCACTGTAAGACAGAAATCCTTTCACTTGGTTGCACATGGGACTCTGTATTGTTTTTGTAGTTGATTTTATAGAGTGCAATAACATGTTATTCCCATGTAGTACACAAAAATGTAGTATAGAAAAGGCGGCCGTTTCATAACTCTAAAGAATGATAGTCCCCACTCTTTAATTCATACTCAGATAAACACAAAATCATTTTAATAAAAGAAGAAATGAAGCATTCAAGCAGCAGTTAGTGCACATTAAGCATAAGAATCCAAGTGATTTTGCAATGGGAAGCAACTAAGTGTATCAGGCACTAAATATACACACACACAAAAATTACCCTTTTAGAAAAAATTACGGGCTTCTTACCACATTGACCCATTTTCTCCAAATGCCTTAAGAACCACCGAGCACAGGTACCTTGTCCTCTGAAGAAGAAATGTTTAGCACTGTGGCTTGGAAAGCTGTGGTTTCTACTGTTTGCATGCATCTCATCTAGATTCCTTTTAAAACAAGACGTTGAAAAGTGTGACTGATTCCAGGTGCAGTGAGGTGCAAATTGCATACCCTTGTGAAACTCTGACAGGGGAACTCACATCTGAGGAAGCACACGTGGCATGTGAACTGATGCCTCCAGTGGGGTTCCAGCCATAAGAGAGACAGCTTTAATTTGTGGCTTGCATTTCATAAGTAAGCAGAAAAAAATACACTAAATGAGTGCAACTCCAGATGCCTGGCCATACCGCCTCATCTGCCAGCGCCGCTCACTTTGGGAGCTGTCCAAGCAGAATGGGAAGAGTGAGTGTGCAACCCACTCTCCCTTCCTGATGACTATTCACTGCTACTGGTATACAGCTATGTCAGCTTTAAAACAGCTCTACAAAGGCTACTAGAGTGCAGCTGAACATCTGGCCCCTAGATTTACTCCTGCAGAGCATGTAGCTTGATTTTGATATAGTTGAAAGAGTCATCCTGTTTTAATAGATATTATCTGTGATAAGTATAAAATATGCAGCTCAGTAAAGATATTATTAGGCAGCACTATTAATAAGTAGTACATCTAGTGCTTCCACCAGAGGACTGAGTCATAATTCCTCAGCTCTATTCCAAATTTTGCTACTCACCAGCTGGACTGACCTTTGGAGAGTCATGCAAGTTTCTGAGCCTCAGTTTATCTTTTTGGAAACATACTTAGCAGGGATAAGGACAACTGGTGAAAAAAATGTGATTAAATAGAATGCATGTTTTTGGCAGTACATTTTATACTGCTTTAAGTCCTCACAATTTCACAAAAAAGACCCTCACTATTTCAATAGCTGGCAACTTTCCATAGACTGGATCAAGAAATTCACTTCTACCTATAATGTGCTTTCAAAGTTTTGAACAATCAACATTTCGGGTGAAAATTCTAGACAAGCCAGTTTTGGTAATTTGGGTGTGTGAAGAAAAAGACAGTAAGGGCTGATGCACAAAGAACTGTTCACTTGCACATTTATATCAAGTGAAATCAAGATTATAGCGATGTGTGTGTGTGTGGGTACATATAATTATGATCTTGATTTCATCTAGCTTTTCCTTTATATGTAATATAAAATCTAAATATATATGGTATGATGTCAGAGGCATACATTTAGATTTTATACTATGCATAAAGGAAAAGCTAGATGAAATCAAGATCATAATTGTTATACTGATTTATATATTTTAAACTGTAAACTCTTCAGGAACCGTCTCTTACTTTGTGTGCTACAGCACTTCAATACAATGAAGTTCTTATAATCTTGTCTGGTCCCCATGGGGGCTTTGTAATACAAAATAGATATAACTGGGTGTGTCTACATATTCATTAATGTGCCATAGTTACTGCACATTAAGTTTAGGACTTGGATAACCAAGTACTAAATCAATGAGCAGTAACTGGTGCTACTGTGCAGTGGTGCTGGCACACAGCTTTTTAGTGTCAGTAACTGGGCAGTAGCCTAATACTACTATACAGTAGCGTATTAGCATGAGTTTTGCCCTGCACACTACTGCACAGTAGAATTAGGCTACTGTACATTTAGCATCTTGGGTAGACGTATCCATTGAGTAGGAAATGAAGGATCAGGTGCAAGAGTGACAATTAACTGAGATTAAAATATTCTTATAAGCATAGTTTGTTTGTTTTTTCTCCTAAGTAGTAGTTTTATTTTGTTCAAAGGAAATAAATTCAAGGTATTACATTGAAAAGACTATGTACACCAAGGGTGCTCAACCTCTGGCCTCTGGGCCAAATGCAGACCATGGAGCCATCACATCTGGCCCACCAGGCAACCCACAGGACAGGAAATTTGCTGGCGGGGGAGTCATGGCAATTGGATATGATTATCCTCCCCTCTGCCAAATTTCCAAAGCCCCATGCACCAAGTTGAAGCCAAGCCATGCTCCCTTTTCCCCCAACCGTCACAAAGCTGGGCTGTGCCTCCTTTTCCCCTTGGAGCCGGGCAAAGTCCCCTTTCCCCCCATGAGACCCCGCTGTAACGGGATCATCTCTAGGGGTGGCCATGAAACCCCTGGGTCCCTTCAGCCCTTACTCACTCTGGTGTCTGTGGACAGTCACCCCTTCATTCACCCACCACACCTTGGGGTATTCACCTTATATCTAAGGGAGGCTGCCCCAGAGCTTCCCAAATTACTGCCACTCTAATGACCAACAGGTTCCTATGGTCATTGCCTTATGGGCTGATTGCAGAGCTCCAGCCATCCCTGCACCACAACCCATGCCTTGTAGGTGTCATCACTTTCTGATGTTCGCTCTCTACACTCTCAGCCCCTTGGGCTCTCAGACCCCCTGGCCCCTCACTCAGCCACTCTCTGGACCCTCAGACCCTTTGGTTCCTCACGTAGATCCTCTCTGGGGTCCTGGACCCCACTGGTCCCACACTCAGACCCCTTGATCTCTCACTCAGCCCCTCTCTGGGCTCCAGCCCCCTAGCTGGGTCCCTAGGGACCTCCTCCACCCTTTTGTTCCTTCCCAGGCCTCCAGACTGCTGCTGGCTGTACTCTCTGTGTTGGCATTCTGGAGCTGCAACCATCCTGCTTGGGAGATGTTCCCTTGGCAGCCTCCAGGATCTTATTGCCTGCTCAACTCAGGGTCTGGGCTTATATCCTGTCTAAGCCCAGCCCACTCCTAGTCAGATGTGGGTCTCATTAGCACCCCCCTTGGCACCTGCATGCTACTTTTCAGGCTGTCTCTCCTCTTTAAGTGGCAGGTACACTAAGCACCCTGCCACACAGGTCATGACCCCTTTCTCCCATTGAGTCAGGGCAGAGCCAGGCCATGCCCTCTTTTCACCACAGGGCTGGGTTGGAGCCAGGTCATGCCTCCTTCCCTCCCCCTGCCCCCCCCCCCCCCCGCGGGGCCCGGTTCCCTCT